AGTGATCCTGTCAGGAAGGTGAGCATCACAGAATTCCAGGTTATTAGAGCAAAGTGTTCTTTTGTTGTTTGAGAAAGTATCTGAGTAGAGGCCCAATGTCTGTCTGCTTCCTTGATACTTAACATATAAATATATGTACATAGATCTATTTCCCTATTATATAAAAATATATTTTCTTACGTACATGCCTGTATTTAGAATTCTATAAATGACCTGTGCCTCCTAGCTCTTTCCTCAATTTCCTTTTACTTTCCTCTTGTCCCACTATCATGTTCAGCTTTCATTTGGGTTTCAGTAATTCTTCTCGGTTACATTGCCCTTGATCCAGGCCTACTAGGTATCATATGCCCTCCTTGCCATCAATTCTAGCTCACTCATTGTTCCTTTGTCCCTGGGTTTGTTAACACCCACTTCCTTTCCCCACCTCCCGTCTCCCATGTCCACATGGAACCATTGGTCCCGTTGTTTTCTCCTCTGGACTGTTTATCTCACCTATCTTGTCTAGATAGACATGCAGAGATAGTATTATGCACAAAAACAAGGCAGAGCAAAACAAAATAACAAAATTAAACCAAAACACCAAACAATAATAACAAAAAAAACCAACAACCAAAAATAATAAAAGCCCTATAAATAGTTGTAGGTCTGTTTGTTGACCTTTAGGAGTGTTTTCTAGTTAAGTCTGATGGGGTTCCATGCCCTGGAAAGTCTATGTTTGGAATTACCTAGGAACTTCATTACTTTTCTCCTCTCGCTGTTCTGTTGCATACCCTTAGCATTTTGCCCCAGTGTGGTGGGGTCAGATTGGGCACAATTCCCACACTGTGCCTCCAGATTTTTCCCTCATTAGGTTACGAGTCAGTGAGGGATGTCTTGTCTTGTGGTGGGGTTGGCCCTATGGTCCTTTCTGTGCATTGGCTGTGCTGAGCAAAAATATCATCCTTGGGTCTTGGTGGATAAGGATGTGTTCTACTCTCTCCTTCCCTCTTAATTTCCTTCTGTGTGCTCTGATCAGACCTGCTACTCCCACTGAGCTGTAGCTTCAGTGCTGTCCTCTGTTGTGCATTATTCTGGGAGGGGAGGCAAGGGAATGTGTCCACATAGTTGGCATTGAGGCAGGTCCCACAGACCTCTCTATTGGTTCCCTGCTTCATGCTGGTATGTTGCATTCATGTCTTGGCATACCAGGTTGAAATCTGGTCCCTCCCCTTGGGTTGGTTAGTGCCCTGCTCCCCCACTACCTGCTTCTTTTTTCTTCTTCTTTCTTTTCCCTTCATTTTTAGTTCGCTGCCCTTTGTATCCCTGGATTGGGTCTGGCCCCTGTCATAGTACCTGTACCTAACCCAAGGAATGTATGTATATAGTAGCTTTTCCCCTATGTCTCCTTTGCATTTTAAAGCTTAATTATACTAATTTTTATAGAAGATGAGATTTTACTTGGTATATTAAAGGAGTGTGTTACTAAGGTAGAGGAATCAGGATCTAGAGGTTATGGTGGTTGTGATAAGTGAGGGGTATATTAAATTTACCAGAGTCAATTAATGATCTTATATATTATGTAGGGAGAGTGCTGTCACTCAGGTATTGTGTTTATAAGAAAAGGACACTTTATAGTGGGTTTCTGATCAACTTAGAACTATTTGCTCCTAAGGCTGTGGTAGTGGATGCCTAAGGGAGGGGTGGCTTCTGCTCAGAGGGAGATCTGGCTAAGGACAGTTGGTCTTCATGTCCTAATGCTACATAGACAGTGGTTGGGAAAGCCACGAAGAAACCCAGAAATGCTGGGATGCCCTGGAGGGGCAGACTGTCTTGGTCTACTTCCCCATGCTGTTTATTCACTAAACCCAGGGAGATGGGGGATTTGAGGAGGCCTGCAATTGCTACCTGGGTTCCTGAACTGGGTTGCACTTACTGACAAGGGAGGTAAGGCACAGGCAGGTGCTGTGCAAAACGAATATGCTCAAAGGGAGCACAGCTGAGCTTGCAGTGGTAGACCTTTCAAAAGAACCCTGGCATGTTGGTCTCACACCTGAATTCTCCAAGTTGGCCTCTTCACCTGTACATATGGCCAGCTATCTCCTCAGTTTTGAATTATGCTACTTCAAGAAGAAATTATACCAACCCCCTCCATTTTTCTCCATCCAAGTCATTAAGCTTTACTCTAATTTTGGGAGGAAGCACTTTCCTTCATATTTCTAATTCCTTCTAACCTGAGGGGTTCATCTTCCAGCATTGTATCAGTGTTCTGTTACTATTTATAAGATTTTTATTGGTTAAATTTTTAGAAGGCCATTCAATAGGTCTTAGACTGGAAGCTCTGCTAAAACTTTCTCACCATGGATAACTCTGCTAGTGTTTGAAATACAGATGGCATAACATTCAGAATCACAGCAACAAACAAGCCACCAACATATGACAATGCAGCATATGAGTTGTGGCTGCAACAGATAATAGACCTGACTTAGACTCCGTAATTATTTGATTTTTTTAAATCTCTTTTTTTAACTCAACTGTTAAGTGCCATCAGGTCAGTCCCCACACATAGCAGATTATGCAAAACAGAATGAAACACTGTCCATCCCTGCACCTTTCTCAGAGTTGCTCCTCTGTTTGAACCCATTGTTGCAGCCACTGTATCAGTCTATTTATCTCATTGAAGGTCTTCCTTTATAATCTGTCCCTTTTACCAAGCCTGCTGTCATTCCCTAGGGACTAATCTCTCCTGGAAATATGTCCAAACTATGTAAGGTCAAGCCTCGCTGTCCTTTCCTGTAAGGAGCACTCTGGCTGCACTTGTTCTATACTTTCTGCACATGTCCTATAATGCAGTATCACATTCAGCCCATTAAATACCTTAAGGGCTATTATGTTCTTGAGAGATTCTTAGATCCCACAGGAAACATGGAGAAACTTTTAATAATGTATTTATTATGCCTGCTTAATCATCAAATTTACCACCAAGGAGTTTATTCCCAATGGATCTAAGGAAAATATATAGCTAAACATTTGATCTAAAGCTACCTTTTGAAATATTGGTTAGTCATCTTGTACTTACTTCCATGCAATGGAAGCTGTACCTTAGACATTCATATATTAAATAATAATTTTGCTTTTCATCTGGATACCCGTGACTACTAAAATTTGGCTTATTTTTTGTATCACTACAAATACCAGGCAAAATCTAACTGCTTTTTTTCTTATATAAATAATAGCCCATGGGATTAGGTGAACATGAGGTTCCCAAATAAGACTAGATGTTGACCATTTTCCTTTTCAGTGGTAAGTTAAATGAATTTATTTGTATATCCTATATAATCATATTTAAAAAATCACTACACACATGCATACACATGCACTCAAATTTTAATATGATAAGCATTTGAAAATATAATATTGGAGAAATTTGTAATTTAACCATTGAATTTTATTTCATATTTTTTATCCTAATTATTTTTTATACATTACCCTTAAATTTTGTCCCATATTTAACTGGAATAGTGATAAATCATAACCTTAATTGATTTTAAACCATTTTTCCCCTTAAAGGTATATTTCAGTATAAATAACAAGTTTATATATCTATGAAATATTCCTTCAACACTGTAGATTCTCTAGAAATATATTTATTATGCCTGTAATTACTTTATTCCTGAGTAGGCAATAATGGAACCGTGTCTCCCAATGAAAGCATGAAGCACACACACAATTATCTTTTATTTTACACATGTAAAGCTACTCATATAATGGATTATTTAAAATATTTTCATTATTTTTATATAAAGTTTATCAATCAGAGTAAATGTAGAAATGATCTAACCAATGAACACTGGCTTTGTATAAAAGACAGAATGTGTCCTACGTATTAAGTTTCAACATTGAATGTTAAAGAAAGCATCACAAAGAAGCATCTATATTGTTACAGGTGTGTTTAATGATATATGCTTGCTTTACATTTTCTCCCCCCAAAATATAAGGACTCATAAAGCGTTTCTAGTGAACATCAAACATCAATGACAATTACGATAAATTGCTGTTTCCCATGTTTCCTATGTGATCTCTCAATGCCCCTTCTCCTACTCCCATAGGACGCTCTTCTCCGAAGCCAGTCTAGCTCTTTCCTAAGGATCAACTCTCTAGGCTTTGGAATGCTGGAGCCCTGGCTTGTTTTGTTTTGTTTTATCACTTCCAATTTAAAAGAAAATCGAGGTATGAACTGAACATAAATAGGGCATCTCAGATTTATACTTCATTCTTAGATCTTGATATATAGCACACCAAACCTATTGTTGCTGACTTGATAGGACTCTCAAAATAAAACTACTGCAGAGAAGGTTCCATGGATAAATTATGGTAGGAAAGTGTCGATTTTCTTATGAGGTGCCTCATAATTTAGGCACATAGAACCCCTAAACTTTCTCTTTGCAGCCCAGCATTAACTGCTTACCTTAAGCAGGCCTGTTTGACTTACCCCATTCATTGTTATCCAGTCAATCCCAGCTTGTAGTGACCCTGCAGTGTTTCCAACTCTGTAGATCTTTCTGACAGCAGATCCTGCAGCGCCCCTGGTGGATTTGAAATTCTGCATCATTGTTAATGGAAGCTATTATTGAATGAGAATTTAAAAAACCAAATATTCAGAAAGGTACACAATTTAAATTTTCAAATCCGGTTCCAAATCTTTCATAAGTTGTACTTCTTTTCTTTAGTTTAAATTTCACTTAAGCTTTACCAATATTTTAAGTGGATCTTGAAAAATTGATCTTCTTCGGGAACCCACAAGCAGTGCTTGAAGAGATTAAAATGTTATAGTTAGATGCCATTGAGTTGGTTCTGATTTGTTTTTTAATTTCATAAATAATGTAGCCAGAGGGAGGGAATTTACTAACTCCAGTCACAAAGCTATCCAAGAATTACAAATAGTCTTCCTATTGCAACACTATTATTATCTTTTAATTTATGCTAATTTCCTTACCTTAGCAGGCAACAAGAAACATAAGGAAATGGCCCGTGAAAATATTACAGTGGTTACTGAGTTTATTCTTTTGGGACTGACAAATCGTTCTGAACTGAAAGTGGTCCTCTTCGTGTTATTCCTGCTGATCTACCTCATTTCTTTGGTGGGGAATCTGGGAATGCTCTTTCTAATCCAAATCACTCCCAAGCTCCACACCCCTATGTACTATTTCCTGAGCTCTCTGTCACTTGTAGACGCCTGCTACTCATCCGTCTTTGCACCCAAGATGCTGCTGAACTTCTTTGTTAAACAGGAGATCATCTCATTTTCTGCATGCATTCTGCAATACTTTTTATTTGTGTCACTCCTAACTACTGAGGGCTTCTTACTGGCAGCAATGGCTTATGACCGCTATGTGGCTATTGCCAACCCTCTACTTTATACAGTGGCCATGACTAAAATAGCGTGTGTTGTGCTGGTCATAGGATCATGTGTAGGAGGTGTGATCAACTCATTAACACACACAATTGGCCTGCTGAAACTGTCTTTTTGTGGACCAAATGTTATCAGTCACTTCTTTTGTGACCTTCCCCCTCTGCTGAAGCTGTCCTGTTCTGACACATCCCTGAATGAATTGTTGCTTTTAGTTTTCTCTGGCGTGATTGCTATGATCACCTTCTTGACAGTGATAATCTCCTACGTCTTCATTGTTGCTGCCATCCTGAGGATCCGCTCAGCTGCTGGCAGACGCAAAGCTTTCTCTACCTGTGCCTCGCATCTGACTGCTGTGACTTTATTCTACGGTTCTATAAGCTTTAGTTACATTCAACCAAGCTCTCAGTATTCCCTAGAACAAGAAAAGGTGGTGTCTGTGTTTTACACCCTAGTGATTCCAATGTTAAACCCATTGATTTACAGCCTGAGGAACAAGGACGTTAAGGGTGCTGCCAAAAGGGCAATAGAAATGAAACTTATTTCCTGTTAATTGTATGCCATATATTTCTGAAAATAAAATATAAACATATGATCTGTCTAATGATATCTAAATAAATTTAGGGTATATTCAAGCCAGAAGAATCCTTGGAGTTTATGTAATTGAATCCGTTTGCTTTAGAAAGAAAGAAAGAAGAAAAGTTCAAGAAGTGCAAGATGCTGTGCAATATATAGCAATTAACTGAAAACAAGATCTATGATGCAGGCCAGATATCTCTGGAAAATTCATGATTTTCAAATTTTCTATCTAAGAAGAAATAAGTCCACGAATTTTATAAACATACACACACAAATATAGAGAGCAATTCAGTCATAAAATTCAAGAATAATAAAATGTCTCTTATCTGTGTCTCTCCCCATTGAGGAATAAAAAAATACTTCAAGACAAAAAGGATTGGTTCTTTAATTATCTAGAAAAATTACGGATAGATGTTTCCAAGAGTACGCTGGATTATGTGCATCTTGATATTCTTCAAAATAAAATGTAAATTCTGAAAAAGCATGTAGAATTGGGTTCTAGATTACTTTTCCATTCACAGTAGTTAGTCTAAGCTATTTAGCCATCCCTGGCCTTGATTTCCATCACAATAAACAAAGTCAAACAGAGAAAAATTCCACTGTCATTAGTACTCCATATTAAAGTGTCACAAATATTTACAGAAAGCTTATTTGCAATACTTTTAATTTTTTTTAGGATCTTCTGACACTTGCTTAGAGTGACTCTAAGAATACATGTTCCTGCTATGTACAGCTTTTTTTAAGAGATATTGAACAAAAAAGTACCTGAAGATTGGTTCACTGTACTTTTTATGATAAACTAGAAAGTCCCTTCAGTTCATATTATACATATAAGAGCTTTGTCTTAAAATAAGGTCTGTAGATATTGATTGGTACAGACCTACTTCTTCCCCATTTAAAAAAATGTGCACAAGTTCAACTTTTATTACACAAATAACTTTCTATGAGAGTTTAATTTTCAGAATAAAGTAACAGCATGTAGTATTTAGATAGCCCTTCACAATTTCCCAATGACTTTAAGATTTTTATTTGAGATAGAGACTCAGAAGACAACATGTGTGTGACATTTATGTATAGGAGAATGACATGTCATTTGTAGGCTAGATGTCTGGAAAATGTGTAATACAGCCTTGATATATATTGGAAAATGTGTACTATTGTTCCACTTGATAAATATATGTGGGTACATACACATTGATGGAAAAATGTTAACTAGTTATGTAAAAAGATAAAAGAAAAAGTCTAAGTTTTATAATCTGCTAATAAAGTCAGTAGTAAATGAAAGATTCATCAACGAGATAACTAAAGCTATTCCATTTGCTGTTATGTAATATACTGGGGTGAGGGTATATTAAAATACAATCCACAAAATCCAATATTGTGAAGTATAAACAGTTGGTGAAATCAGGATTTAGCAAATATTGATCTAAGGCTTAATGAAATCTTTAGAAATATGTGCTATTTTATTGATTTCATGTGTGTCAAGTTGCAGTTGCGCTTTGGAAACTGGTTGCACTGATCTAGAAAATAAGTTGCTGGTCCCGAATGACCAGAAGTAGTTTTTTAGATTCAATGATAGCTGTTGAGTCAATTCTGACTTAAAGTAAGGCTGCATACAACCAAATGGAGCACTGCTCAGTCCTAAGGCATCCTCAAAATCATTGTTATGTTTGAGCTCATTGTGGCAGCCACTGTCTCTCTCCTTGACAGTCTTCCTCTTTCTCACTGAGCCTCCACTTTACCAAGCACAAATTCATTTACCAGGTATTGGTGATAACCCATCCACTGTCCCTGAGACAAATTTCACCATCCTTGCATCTAAATTCTATCGTACTTCTTACAAGACATGTATATTTGTTCTTCTTGCAGTCCATCATATTTTCAATATTAATCTCCATAGAGGGTTTTGTATTTAATAAAAATATATAAGTATAAAAGCAGTGAAACCATCATAACAATTTTAAAATAGTTTTATTTAAACCCAACCAATCAAAGGAAAGCTATATCTAAACCACAGGAGACACAAATCCAGAGTTAATAAAAAATCCTGTTTCTTGGTAAGTGAACAGAGTTTAGTCTTTTTCCTTCTTTTTCTTTTTTTTAACTTTAAACATTTGCATAATGGACAGGCAGTTTACACATGACTTCTTACTTTTTCCTTAAAACTATTGCCTTTCAGTAGGAAGATTAATATGTGAAAATATTAGTTTAATATGCCAAAAGTGATTAGTTATTATTTTTTAATGTCTTGTAGCTCTGTAAAATATACATAGTAAAATAAACCTTGCAGTAGTGTTTATGGTATTTGAAATTATATTTAAAATATTATTTTACATCACACTGTTAGAAATTCAAGCCTGCATTTCCTAAGTCTTTACTCAATATCAGGAAACGTTTAATCTAAAATGATGAGTTGTAAAATATTGTTTACATACTGATATTATCCAATAATACTTTTAAACTATCATTAGAAAACAAAAATAAGAATCTGTGTTGTAAGGAATTAATTTATGCATATGTATGTATATACATGTGTACACACATATAAACATGTGCATTCTAAAACCCACATATATACTATATACACACTGTGTGTGTGTGTGTGTGTGATACACTTCCTGCCATTGAGTCGATGCCAACTCAGAGCAAATCCCTCTGTGGGTTTCAGAGACTGTAACTGTTTACAGGAGTAGAAAGCCCTGTGATTCTCCTATGGAGCTGCTGGTGGTCTCAAACTAACGACCATAAGGATCGCAGTTGAGAGAGTTTCATATTTTGGAAGTAAATCACTAGACTTTTCTTCCCAGGCAATTTTAACTAAAAGCATCCATCCTTAGATTAGAAGCTGAGTATGTTAATTAATTACACTACTGTAGTGAGGTAAAATGGCTTAACTTGGTTGCTCTATCTATCTGTTTGTCTGTAATAGAATTATGAAGTAGAAAAAATGTAACATGGCTTGTTTTAATGTCGACAAATACTTGCCCATTACTCTTCAACTGTATCAAAATCATCAAAGAAAAGACTGAAGACTTGTCAGAGAATGGGAGTGAATAAGGGACAAGGCCACCAGGGGCAATGTGAGGGTTTGAGTTAGATTTTGATGCAGAAAAAGGACATTAGTAGAAAAACTGGTGAGATTGAATGAAGCCTTACTTTCATTAATATTATTGTATAAGTAAACATTTATTAGTTTTTATAATTTCACTGTGGCTCATGTGTAACATATAGCTAGCATGATTATAAAGTTAAATATAGCTGATTAACAGAAATCAAAATAGGCATATAAACAAATATGGATTCCATTAATAAACAAGTCTTTATTAAATGCCCACAATTCACATTTTATGAAAACTATAGGCAATCATACCAATTAAATATTTGTTAGCACAATAACAACAATTGGTTCACTAAATATCAGAACATTATAGTAATGAGAAATTTTAACTCACATATGAGGGAACTCACTCTTAAGGGAAGAGGATTTAAAGCACTTACTAATGATGATTAAAGATTGCATCTTTCAGTATGAATTATACTTCAATATTACCTACACCCTGCCACCAAGTCCATTCTGACTCATACTGACACTATGTAGGTTTACCAGCACTTTGTATACCTTTATGGGATCATGAAGTCTCATCCTTATTTCACAGAGCAGTTGGTGGGTTCAAATAGAGGACGCTTCAGCCAACAGTCCAATGCTTACTGGACAATACCACCATACCCTGTAAACTGCAATATGAGGGGGAAAATCCAACTCGACAAATAATCATGCTTATGACAAATAGATAAAATTTGGATATTTTCAAGGATTTTCATTTACTTACATCTATAATTAACACCCATGGAAACAACAGTAAAGAAATCGCGTTACATGTTGTCATGTAGCACTGAGCAATGTTCTTGTAAGACAAACAAAACAAAACCCCATTCAATCCCGTCAAATCTATTCCAACTCATAATAATCTTATAGGGCACAATAAAATTGCTCCATAGGTTGTCATTCTGAGAACATCCACTTAGGTCTTTCAAACCCCACAACCTCTCGTGGAAGAAAGTTGAGGCTGTGTGCTCCTATAAAGATGTAACGAAAAACTCTTCTGTAGCCCCCTCCGACTCTTCAAATGTTAAAGAGAAAATATGCCACTTTGTGGACAAGGGGGTGCCTGATCAAAGCATTGCCTCATTTGTGTGCCAAAGCTGGACAATTAACTAAGGAAGATAGTGGAAGAAATGATGCCTTTGAATTATGGTGTTGACAAAAAATAAAGAACATATTGCCAGAAAAGTGAAGAAATGTGTCTTGTGAGAAGTAAAGCCAGAATTCTCCTTAGAAGGGAGTATGGTTAGACTTCATGTTACAGACTTTCTTATCAGGAGGGAACCAAAAATCTCAAACTCACTATCATCAAGTCCTTCTGGCTCATAGTGACCCTATTGTACCGGGCAGAACTCCCTGTGTCTTTCTGAGAATGTAAATCATTACAAGCGTAGAAATCCTTGTGTTTCACTTATTCGAGAGGGAACAGTCTCTGGGAAGGACATCAGGGATGAGGAAAAACATGTCAGGGGAAAAAATCCATTGATATAGTGGCTACAACAATGCTCTTAAATAAATCAACAATTGTACTGATTGTGCACAACTGGGCAGTTTCATTCTATTGAATGCGGGAATATTATGAGCCAGAACCAACGGAACTTCATGTAACATCTTCAGGCATTGCGATGGTTAGAGTTTATGTAAACTAGACCTGGTTAAAGGGAGGGATGGAGCCCAATATGGTCATGGCCTGATGACACCTCCTTGGAGCTGTGGCCATTTGTATGAGAGAGAGACCCAGAGCTCTCTTGCCCCCTTTGAATTCTACTGGATCTGGAGCCTGTGTTTGTCTGGTTATGGATCTCTTGTTCTTCCACCTGCCAATGCCAGGAACAGTCAGTAGACTGTCTACCTTGCAATCATTTGGCCCGAACTTGTATTCATTTACCTCTGCATCCACCAGACTGCGGCACTCCTTCATTACCCTGCTTCATGTTTGTCAGCTTCTACTGTCGCTTGAGTCAGGAGAAGCCTCCACCTTACATCTGACCTATGGATTTGAACTGAACTGGACTTACCTACTTCTATAACTATTAAGTATTTCTTGATATAAATCTTTTATATATATATATATATATGCAACATCACTGATTTTGTTGCTCTAGGGAACCCAGCCTAACACAAATATGAAGGTAGAAACAATCTCATGTATACAGTTGTGGTCTAGCACACAGTAAAATATCTCTATCTAATAAATGCTTTTTAAACAGTTTTATTGGCATTTAATGTATATGCCATATAATTCAATAATTCAATCATATCAAGAAGAGTTGTACAATTATCACAATCAATTCTAGAACATTTTATTCTTCCTTGTACTCATTATTGTTCATGAAGTTATATTCAATTGTGGCAAAATATACATAAATGCTTTAAAAATGTGTGATAAGTGAATAAGTAAATGATAGACAAAACTGTGATATCCCAGTATATTGCTCAATTGTTTCAGTTTTATTTTCTCAAGAAGCTTACTAGGAGAGAAAAATTGACCAGTAGAATTGGATATGGAAGAGATGAACATCTTAAGAAAAATATGTTCATAACATCAGATTGAATGCTTAATCACTAATTTTTGGAGAGTTACTTTTAAAAAATTCACTGAATGAAGTAGCATATTATTAAGGACTAGTTAACTTCACCAGGGTTATGTGATTAATATAATAAGATTAAATAAGATTACACATTTATACTCCTTAACATTATGCTTGGCATGTATTAAGAACACCATGAATTTAGATATCTTGATGATGATGATGATGAATGGTGATGATGATACTGTGATATATGCATAACTGGTGCAGAGATAAATATGCAGGAAGTTAATAATCTCTATAAAAGTTCAAAGTACTTATTCAAAGTACAAGTAATAATATATAATATTTTAATGTAATCTGACTTTAAAATGACAATTAACTTCTTCAATATGTACTATTAACAATTAAATATATAAAAGTGAGGAATATGCATTTCTGAACAATTGAATCAGAGATGTATGCCACACAAATTAAGAATTTTAGACCTTGGGGTACAATTAGAATACAAATCTCAAGAGATGCAAGATGTTAATTGACCAATTCCTGTATGAGATTAGCTTAGAAGTTTGAAGAAGAGGTTGCTAATATAAGAAGTCTGCTCAGCACATTAGATTTTAGATGATGATCCTTTCTCATGAAACTGCTTTAGAAATACACTAAGAGCAGAGTTAACCCTGAATGCAAATCTAGTTTTGAGGTGGAAAAAGAAGACATTAGACAAAGAATTATTATAGCTATTTAATTTCCTATTTTCTATCCTATCAATGGGAAGAAACATACAAAATATCCAGTATTATCAACAAAAATACCTCTATATTTTTATCAACATATTTATAGGAGTTCGTTTTATAAGCAATGAATCTCTGTGTTAAATAACCACAGATTTGGCTATTATACTGACAGTTCATAGGATATAGATTAGGCATATATGTGCAAAATATTAAGGATGTCTTTGGTGAAGGCCATTATCTTTCTTTTTTATTATCTGGAAATAGGAAGATACCTACAAGAGAAGATAATTTCCATTGGATAACCAAATTCCAGGTAAGTGTAATTCTATTATCTAAATCTGAAACTGTGCGTGTATTTCCATAATAGCAAATACTGGTAGCCTTTACCCCCCCACACCCGCCCGTCTGTATCTTCTAGTAGATCTTAAGAAAACTTGCTCTAATGTAAAAAAAGACAAAATTTCTCATTGAATAAATACTTGTTAAATGAATACATGGATAAACAGAAATGTGTAGATAGCAAATGGTTAAATAGCACGAAGTCCCTTTGGGTTATTTAACTAGTGCATTCTGTGCCTTTAACGAGTCTGAGTTAAATACAAATAACTATTTCACTCTGCCAATTCAGTAAGGAATGAAAGTGATATGTATTCTCTAATTTATGGTCATTCAGTATTTTATCATATGGTAATACCTAAATGAGCTCTGCTTTTTTAGGTCTTTAGACTTAATCCTTCTCTGATGTGTATTATTCTGTGAACTAGGTAAACCAGCAATCTCACTGAAATAAATGGCTGGGTCCAACTTTACTGAGGCGACATTCTTCATCCTCTCTGGATTTGCTAACCACCCTGAACTACAAGTCAGTCTTTTTTTGATATTCCTGTTCATTTATCTTTTCACTGTCTTGGGGAATCTTGGACTAATCATGCTAATCAGAATCGACTCTCAGCTTCACACACCTATGTACTTTTTTCTCAGCAATTTGGCATTCATTGACATATTTTATTCCTCTACTGTTACTCCCAAGGCTCTTGTTGATTTTCAGTCCAACCAGAAAACCATCTCTTTTGTTGGCTGCTTTGTTCAAATGTACTTTTTTGTTGGTCTGGTGTGTAGTGAGTGCTTTCTTCTGGGATCCATGGCTTATGACCGTTATGTAGCAATCTGCAATCCCTTACTCTATTCTGTAATTATGTCCCAGAAAGTGTGCAACTGGCTGGCATCCATGCCTTACATGATTGGCTTCACAAATTCCCTGATATCCATCTGTGTGATAAGCAGTTTGGCCTTCTGTGATTCCAGTATCAATCATTTTTTCTGTGACACCACAGCCCTGCTGGCCCTGTCCTGTATCAATGCATTTGACACAGAAATGGTGATCTTTGTTTTAGCTGGGTTCACCCTTCTGAGTTCTCTTCTGATCATCATGATCACTTACATCGCCATCATTGCAGCCATCCTGAGGATCCAGTCTGCATCGGGCAGACAAAAAGCCTTCTCCACCTGTGCATCCCACCTCATGGGTGTAACCATCTTCTATGGGTCCCTGATTTTTACATATTTGCAGCCTGATAATACATCTTCTCTGACCCAGGCACAGGTGGCATCTGTGTTCTACACCATTGTCATTCCAATGTTGAATCCATTGATCTATAGTCTGCGGAACAAAGATGTGAAGAATGCTCTCTTGAGAGTCATTCATAGAAAACAATTTCCATAAGAAATCTATGCATGTGATATATTTTTAAAAACCTGGATGAATTTGAGCATTAAATGACTAAAAATTAGGAACATATTATGGTAACCTCAAAAGGCATATCAAAAACCAAATAATCAGAGGGTTCAAACTGAGAAGATAAATACCTATTTATTTGTTTATATGGGATAGCAAACCACTCTTTTTAGAAGGTTCTTTAGACACATCATTAGCTATAACATAAACATGTTCAAACAGAGAAAGAACTTTATGTAGTGACAGAATTCATACTTAATCAACCTTGTATGAGAACTCAGTCATATTGAAACATGTGGACAAATAATTGAATTGATTCTCAGTATAGCTTGTTGTTCCGTCTGCTCAGCTTTTAGCAAATTGAGAGCAAGGAATTAGAGGATTAAAATGTGAGTAAAAATAATTTTCACTGACAGTAAGAAATCACATTTGATAATGTGAAAACATACAGGAAAGAGAACAGAACTAACAAATTTTTCAAAAGATGAAAATATTGTGATCAATTCAATAAGGTGCAAGCATGAATGAGCCCAGAAGGCACTGGAGAGGAAACACAGAGAAAACTCCAGGTGATTTGATCCTTTTGCAATAATTGTTACTACAGTTTTTATCATGTCTCCTATGTCTTAATCAAACCACCTAGATAGATAATAAGTCATTAATCTAATGTGATGGGATCAGTGAGAGTGTGTGCATGTAGATCTTTGCCAGTTTTTTCTTTTCTTCTCTGATCGATATTAGAGGAGTTTCAGTCTTGCAAATGATATTATGATGTAATATTTCATATTGTAAACTAATGTTATAAAGGACAACTTCCAAACATCATTGTATGATTAAAAGTATATCTTGGAAATACCTTTTCCCTCATTGTACACTCCTCTATACTAAGGTCTAGGAGCCCTAGTGTCACCATGAGCCCCATACAGTGAGCTACTAATCTCAAGGTGAGTGGCTGGAACCCATCAACAATCCCAAGAGAGAGACAGATGAGGCCACATGTTCCTAGGGTGAATTTTTCAAAAGTCTTAGTAATCCAAATAAATAGATTTCCTCTTCTTATAGGGTCACTATGAGTCAAAATTGACTCAATGGTTCAGTAAATTTGGAGTGAGATACTAAAGTCACAAGAAAATTATTTTTCCACTCATGGTTTCTGAATTAATATTGGTGACTGAAAACTTCCCATTATCATCACCATGGAAATTCACAAAGCTAAGTATATTTTCCTTCTTTTGTCCTATCAGGGATTTTCATTGTAAATATATTATTCAATTTTCAAGTAAAACAGAACACTTGCATACATTAGCATTTGACCAGAATCTGGCTTTTATCTGTTTTTCTTTCTTATTTCCCAAAGGAACTTAAAATGCATTCTTCAATAGATGTCAAGTGGACTTCCCATTTAATTTTTATTGTTAATATAAGTATGTATCTATTGGTCATTTTCTTGCTTGCTTGTTTTTTTTTCCTCCAGGAGCAAAAGACTCTTACACTTTACTTGTCCAACATAGCAATTAGCAAAGTCTTTCTCCAAATTAAAATTCTTCCCTTCAACTTAAAATGTTTGATATATCAAGCTTAAAAAGAAATAAAATTATTTTTGTTCAATCTATAAGTCTATGGTGCCTTATTAAAAACAATATCAACACTTGTATTTCTTTAGTTTATGATTTTATTTTATAAAACATTGTTTTTGTTACTCCATTTGCCTGATCCTCACTTCCTCCAGGAATATATATGATTTTCAAGTTCACGCTTTTCAAGTTGTTTATATGTAATCTCTTCACTGAAGACTTCTGTGATAACTTTCTAAAAAATGTTTTCATTATAAATTACTTTATTGTTTCTCTTTGGAACAAAATAAAAGTCATATATAAAAGCAAATTTAAGATTGGTAAAAAGCATTATTATTATTATTAAATGTGGTAAATGAACAGATAGCCCCTGAATCACAACATGTTTAAATTATGACAAACCACATTTATGACCATCCTTTTATCTTTAATTATATATGCTGTTAGTAATGTATACTAAAAATATTGTAGAATGAAATGTGCTGATGGTATATCAGCACTCTCAGATGGTATATCAAATGGTTTATCAAAAACAAAAATGTGGGGTTAATTGAAGGGCAGAGGGATAAATGGCTCGGTGAGCCTCTCCTTTCTAGTTCTCAAGTCTCTTGCTTTCTGATGGTCTGGGTGCAGCTGCCTTAGCCAGTTCCCTGCTTCAGCTGGCAAGGTTCACTTCCTGCATGACATCTCTGAGGAGAAGCCACATGGACCTGCCCCGATGCAGCCCTGGGTGCTGGAGCACCCATGTGGAGATTCCTGCCAGCGCTGACTTGCTTACACATTCACTGACTCGGCTTTCCTCCTGCAGTCGGCATCATTGTGTCTGTTTTGTGAGATGGAGGAGGACTTTGTGGATTGGTGTGGGACATGTGGGCTAATGTTTGACTTGTGGACTTGGGCAGCACTGGGTTGGGATGTTTTCTTGATGCACATAAAACACTTTCTTATACATGAGTTTCTGTGAGCTTGTTTCTTTAAAGTACCCAGACTAACACGGATACTGACAATGAAAGATAATAATAATGGAAAGGAAAATGATAAAAGGGGTTATTCAGCTTATTTGAAACCCATTACATATCAGGGACTATCTGCATACATAATAAAACACTTGTCATTTCAGCACCCTTTATATGGTGATGTTATTGCTATTGTTGTTTTTAGGAGTTTTTAAGTCACTTCTGACTTATGGACAAAATTTAAAAACACTGCATATCTCTGTGCCATCCTCATAACTGCTGTTGTGTTTGAGCCCAGTGTTGCATTCACTGTGTCAAATCATCTTGTTAAGCATCTTCCTCTTTTGCTTCCCTTATATTTTTTCCAAGCATGCTGTCCTTTCCCAGAGACTGGTGTCTCCTGATCACGTATCCAAATCATGGGAGACAAAGTCCCCCATTCTCACTTCCTAGAAGCATTGAGACTGTACTTCTTCAAATACACATTAGTTTGTTCTTTTGGCAGTCCATGGTACTTTCAATATTCTTCACCAAAACCATAATTCAAAATGCACTGATTCTTCTTTGATCTTCCTTATTCCATGTTCAATTTCCATATGTGCATAAGATGATTGACAATACCAGTTTGGGGCAGGTAAATGGCATTCTTGTTTTTACTTCTTTGCCCTCTGAATTTCCACCCTTTGCCATGCAACTTGGCATGTCTTCTCAATCCAGCTGTAGTGTATTTTCCCAGCTGAGGTGGCCTATGTTTTCTGTAACTGATCACAACAAGATTTCCAGATCCATATTTTACTATAGAACTTAAACATTATCAATATGTTTTCTCTTAAATAAAAACAGTAGAGATCTTAAATGATATTGACATTATAAGCCATTTATTTGTTTCTGCAGTGTGTGCCTCTATGTGCTTGTATTTCTATGTGTGTATGCGTTGTTTTTTGCTTCAAAGTAAGGAATATATATTTATTTATTAGTAACAATGCTTCCTAATGTAATTTGGAATGTTAATTTACTTTTAATAAATCATTTTACAAAGGGTTTCTACAACTGTTATAACAATCCATACATCAATTGTATCAAGCACACTTGTACATAGGTGGCCATCATCAATTTCAAAACATTTTCTTTCTACTCGAGCCCTTGGTATCAGCTCCTCTTTTCGCCTTCTTCCCCTATCCTCCCATCCTCCTTAGGTTATTTTTTTCTCTAAATGTATAGTCAAAGTTTTGCACTTTATGGTTATTAAAGATGATTATTCTCTGTATGGTTGTACAATAAAGAAGATATACAATTAGGTTTTTTCCCTATTTATGCTGAAATTGAAAGATATATATTTTTTGAGAAATTGCATTGGCCAAGTCAAATTCACTGCAATCTAGTAGTTTCCAAGTCAGAGAAATCCTACAGAACAGAGTAGAATTGCCCCATAGTTTTTATTTTTACTTATTTTTATTTTTAAATTGTGAGTTAAGTAATGGTTTCCTGAGCAGATCATCAGGTATATTTTGTTTCTGAATCTGTACATTTTAATAGAAGTAGATTGTTACCCCATAGATAGCTGATCTTTCCTTTAACAGGCCAAGTATTATTTACTGTGCCACCATGGAAACATGTCATCATGATAGTGCAAAATAAATCAGCCAAACTATATTTAAAACAGTATTTTTAACATTAGTATTCAGATACTTTTATGCTAGGTAGAATCACTGATCTAGGTGAGACTCAGCTGATTGGCTTCCTGAGTCTCTCATACTTCTGTGACTTGGAGAAGGTTCAGCGTTTCAAGCCTTTGCACAACTCAGTTCTTGTTCTGCTCCCAAGAAAGATTTCAGGAGAGGAAAAAAAGCAAGAATAGAAGAAAAGTTTTAACAGAAAGAGTATGTTAATTGAAGGGGAGTATTGTGGAAAAGAAGTCCAAAGGGCCATTAGCTAGTTTAAAAGGTCTGACCAAATGTATAGCTGGACCTTATATTTTGCTAATGGTGGACTTCCCACCATAGGCTGGCATTCTGGTGGGTCTTCTACTATTGGCTAATATTCCTCTATAGTGAGCCTGCTTTAATTGGCTATGTATATTAATCACCCCACTACCCCAGTACCCCAGATGCCATGCTGTGTTGTTGTCTCAGACCAAAACTCAATAGTCTATTCAGTCATTGTGGAGATTGTATGAACATCCTGTCTTTCTCCCCCAGCCACTTCATTATCTCTAATATCTCTGGTCTCCTCCATTGATAAGGAAATATGATTTATTCTGTACTTCCCCTTCCTTCATGATGGAGAGGTAGATGTGAAAGCCTGTCTCCACCTCTTTTGTGTTTAAGATTCCTGCAAGTTTTTCCCCATTTATCAGCCCTTTAGGCTACAGAGACATGCTCTTTGGTGGCAATAGTAAATACACAAGATCAACTACCTAAAGACAAACACATTGCCTACAAATATTTGTTTTATTTAA